ATCTAGCTTTCACTCCTGTTCATGTAACTTTCATAGCTTTAATCAGCGTATGCCTCCCACAGTTAGTGTTTCTATGACTATGTGTGTATGACCTTGTATATAGCTTTGTAGTTTTATAATGCCTCACAGTTCATGTTATTAGGATTTACCTTAGCTTTGCCCTTGCACCTGTATATAGTCACTGGCAGAGTTTATCCCACAGCCATTGTTATAGTTCACCTGCTCTCAGCTCATATGGTGTCACGTCAGGGTACATATGACTGTTTACACCATATCACAATCACTGTAAATAAATCTCATGTTGCACTAACCTGTGCTACTGTCTTGGGTCTGTGTTTTTGGTCCATTCTGTGTTGTGACAGTTTTGCCGTGACAATATATTTAAAGTGAGTATGTAGACCGATGTCTCACGGGTATTAAATACAGGTCATACAGGTGTCCCCTCACTGGGATTGCATGCTAAATGATTGTTTGTAAATGAAACCTGTGAATATTAATTGGAAAGTAGAGTTGAGTCAAATTGGTGTGCGTCACCCCTGTCCTCACGGAGCAGCCCTCCCCACGAGACAGGCACCATTCCTGGGATAAAACCTCCAGCAGTGATCCCCCTTTTTCTTTTTATTTGATTTCACTGTAACTGAAAACAGTTTATGAACTAATGAACCAACTGCTCCTCGTCATCTGTGAAGGCTGAGAACATGACTACAAAGTCTCAAAGGTCAAAAGGTATTCCTTCTTAACAAGTGAAAGCTCAGTAATGGCCAAAATATTAGTCACATTCTGCCCAATTCTGTTTGCAGATTGCAATTTTTTTTAAAAAAATAGATTTTAAATACTAGTGGGGAGCTTTTTCAGTTGCTTTCTCCTTCGTGACCTGTACCTACCTGAGAGATCGTGAGAAAACAAGGCACCTCTGTGTGTGTGTGTGTGTTTCCAAGCCTCTGCTCAAAACAGACTGTGAGAGGGGAGATCGAGACAGAGAGAAGCCGTTGTGTGCTGGAGTGCTGGTCTGTCTGGAACGTGCTGCTGCCTGGCTACTCAATTTGTGCCTCGGGCCATCTGTCCTCAAACAGTCACCAGCAGTGGGCAATTTTTCAAAGTCAACTCTACTAACTGTCAGAAGAGTCTGATTGTAACATCTATTCATAGAAAAACCGTTCCCTGATTAGTTGTTCTGCAATGCAAGGACTGGCTTTAAATTATATCATAACTGACTTACACACAGATGATGAATTAAAAGAAAACAAAACACAGTTAAGCATCTTAGAACATCTACAATAGATGATCAAGGTAGTTGAAATTTGGTCAGTTTCATATATAAAAATAAAATGATTCATGTGGTGTCATGACTTCATGCTTCGTGTTTGACTAGTTTATATTCTATTGTTTTATTGTTATATTAAATGCAAGTATTCTTATGTAAACAGTATGTTTATGAGGGAAGACAAACTCAACACATGACACACTCTTCAACCTAAATTCAAATTTTAACATATGTTAAATTAATTAACAAACTTTAAAAACAACAACACTAAAATCTAGAACCATAATAGAACCACATGAAGTATATGAAAAAGAAAAATCATTAAAATAAAGAGTTTCTTCTATTGGTGAGATTCTTTGAAGAACCAGACCACCTTTATTAACCTGAGAGTGCTCATTGAACCATGCACTGTGAATAGGAGCACTGTCATCCTGGGAGAGACCACTCCCGTTGCATATTTTATCACAGGATAAAAGTGATCAATCAAAACAACTTTACATTGATTTCCAAACCATACCAGCAAAACCCCCCCTGTCATCAGAGCAAAGCCCTAAATCCCCTGACTGTGGAGAGCCAGAGTTCAACTCCTTTAATTTGTCACTTGTCTCCGGTTCTTTCTGTAGGGAATTTAATCCTTTTTGTTTTTCAAATACGAATATTTCTCTTTTTCATTTTCATTGAATTAAGAGCAAGATATGTAAAAATCGATCAATCTGTTAAAGTTGAGCATAGCACGAAACGTGTGCCCGCCCTGAACATAATCGATTCTTGCAATGAAGGCCATAAAATCAATTTTGCCTGGCACCACATGTGATGTGAGACAATAACCTTGTGTGTTACATGTGTGGTGTGTGTGTAGCTGTGGGAAGATGGATGAATGGATGGATGGATGGATGGATGGATGGATAGGGGCTACTAAGAATGTCTGATCTTCTCTTGACTCCACCTGTTATTCCTATAAACTGTGCCTGCTATTGTTAGCACTGCATGGTTCAGTTGTAGCTGCTGCCAGCAGGTACTTGGTAACCCGTGATTACTGATGTAGGCATGTTGTTTGGAAATGTAAATCTTTACAGATCAGCCATGTGAACACAGCAGATTATTCCATTTAGATTTTTCAATCTGATTAACATAAATTCATGCTGGTATATTTTATTTATGCAGGTTGGTGTTGCTGCTCTTTCTGCAGTGCAGTCTGTTGATTAAGTGAGTGAGTCCAGGGTAACTCCTGCTTCCAGGGATCATTTTGCAAACATTGTTCTTCATTTATAGTATTTATAAAATCCACTTTTTTTTTTTTTTTTTTTACAAATCTCAAATATTCAGATCATATTTAAATAATAAACTTGCTCTAATAATAATAAACTTGTGAGGCCCGTCTCATGTTTAAACAGGATTTTAGAAAAATGTTTTCAAAATCAAGTCCTAGAGACTGATATCGTATCCCAACATACTTATGAGTAGATGGGTAATCTATCTGAGTCAACTAAACAGAAAGTATTGCCTCATTTGTCTCTTTAATTGCCCAAAGATGTATTCACCCACACTGGAAGTCACCCAAGCCGCCAACAGAAAAGTCTTGACAGACAGATCTAATGTCATTCCTTAAATTGGAAAAGGTATAGTTTCTCTTAGAGGGGCCAATAAGAAATGTTATACCTCACGTAAGCCTTTCCTTTCATATCTCCTTCCTTACTAAGGAACCCAAATTCCTTTTCCCTTAAAAAACAAAACAAAAAACTTTTTCTTTGTTGTTTTTTTTTCTTTTAGCAAACACTTGTTGTGACACTAAGGTTTAACTATATGTAGACTGTATGTTTTGTATGTAAATGTATAATAAGGTCTCAATAAAACAAATTTATAAAATATTGTGTTTGTGCATTCCTTGCCTCCTTTCATTGGCCTCCAGTGAAATCTGGAATTCATTTTTTAATTTTACTATCATACAAAAGACTGAAAGGCCGGCCCCTGCTTTCATAAGAACTGTTAAAACCTGATTCCACTCATCTGTTTCTCTGATCATTTATTCAGGGTATTTTAAGTGTTGTGCTTTCTGATTTTAAATGTAGAAGTGACCAAAACTAAATTTTGGAACAGCCTTCTTCAACTTATCAAGTAGGTTATGCCTCTGCTTTGATTTAAACTAGCTTTAATACGATAGCATTTTCTGAAACATTTTATACTGATTATCATGGTCATTCGGCCTTTAAAAAGAGCATGATGATTATGTAATTAATTGATTAAGAGTATGATTATGTGTCTGCATGAATGCATGCTTGTATGGTATGCAACAAGCTGCTATACACAGTCACTTATCAGTAATAACAAATTATCAATAAGTCATTGTATTTTATCCTGTATTATATGGTGTGGTGTTGTATTGTATAGCTATTCTCTCCTGTTTTAGTTGTTTGATACAGAGGGTTTATCCTAAATCTGAAACACAATTTTAATTTTATATTTAAAAAAAATAACCTGTGCAGATTTGTAATGTATGAATACGAGATTGTTTTCAATACTTTTAATTCAATTCAATTTTATTTATAGCACCAAATCACAACAGCAGTCGCCTCAAAGTGTTTTATATTGGAAGATAAAGACCCCATAATAATACTGGATGGAGGCTCATTGATATTATAATATCTCAACGGCGCACACGGATAGTACTCTTCATTTATTTAATAAAATGTGGTAATTTGTCTTCAGGTGTGACCTTGTTTCATCCTTATTTTTGGAAAGAACACAGATTACCGTAATCTCTTTCTCAGTGGGGATCTGAGTTTACACAATAAAGCAGCATGAATGTCTCATAACAGTGCCTGCCCTGGATGAATCCTTCTCTTTGAGATCTTTACAACATTATTAGCACAGGGAAACTTTGAGTTTGTAAAAGTTGAGATAAAGACTTGTATATAATTTCTGCTGCTTTTTTTTTTGTTAAAAAAAAAGTAATGAAAACATAGTGTGGGATTCACTTGAAATGTGTTTTATATAGTGGTTTACCCTAACACAGTCTAATGTGAAGATTTCCAATAATACACAATCCCCTTTTTGTAGTAATATCAATAATAGTATTTAATACTACTACTAATAATTTTTCAGAGTGAACTGACACGATATATAATGAATTATGGTGCCAGAGATGCTGCTTTTCTAGCTGAAGGCCTTGTATTACATGTTTTCATTCTTCATGTATAAAATCTGGATTTTACATACTTGACTTAAAAGAGCAAAACAAATAAACTGTTGTATACAGTGTAATATTAAAGCTCTTTGCCCTGTATTGCACAAGCCTTGGGCTGTCAGCACCCAGTTGCCTGCGCTCCATAATTATTGACAGGTTTGATGTACTCAGCGAGTGGAAAGTATGGGGAAATTGGAGTTTCAGTTGTCTACCCCGAGGCTGATGACTGTAATGGAAAGATTAAAAGGAGTGGTCACATCACCCACCCTGTGCCAAAATACTAGCTGTTCCGTCACAGCTACCACCTCGCTGTTTATTCCAATCACCTCCAGTTTATGTTCTACCAGTGACGTTAAACAGATTATAGAGGATTCACTTATTTAAAGACTGGAGCTAAATCTCTGCAGGTTATTTTTAGATTGTCCAAGGATAACAACAAAAGTGACAGCTTGATTCACTAGAGGCATCTAATTGAAGTAAGTCACTTTTGCCATGTGGGACAGTGCAGTGTAGCAGAGCAGCTGGTCTGTTAGACGCTCAATAGGTCAGCTGAGTGTTGTCAGTACTCACCCCATTCACTTTCATCTGTTGTACCAAGACCTGCTGCACCAAGAAGCTCCCTGCACAGCTCCATCATGTCTCTACGGCTTCTGCCTGCTATCATTATGGACAATGACGAGGACGATGATAGTAACTTCACAAAATGGATGAGCAGTTACTGGGGTCACGGACCAGACGCTGTACATTCCAGAGAAAGAAAACACAGTTTCAGAAGGCCTTCAAAAACACAAGTTGATAGACGAGCATCACTCCCGACTGCGGTAAGGAGCGGCTGCACTTCATGGATTGACGTATGTGTTCAGCTCTGCAGCATTCGACTTGATGCATGCACTGACATTTAAACTGCAGCAAAACACTTTTAACAAACATTTTTTGCAGTTTCTCTTGTCCAGTTTTACACCACATATGGGCAGCGTGCTTGTACACTTGACACGCCTTTAAATATAATACTGTATAGCCCTTCATTGATAATTGGAGGGAAAATAAAATATATGCACTCTCTGATGAATGTATTTCAGACAGTATACTTTCTATGTACTTCTTTAAAACCAGCTCAGGGTGTTAGAAAGATCCCATACCTTCATTGACTGCAAATATCACTGCATGGAATATTTATAAAACACAGAGTTTTATTTCTCTGAAAAAGACAAAATATGGACTATGACAGCAGAATAATACACATGTATGTTTTACAAGCTGGTATGAGAACTAATTAAATATTAAAGCTTCCAAACCAAAAGCCTTTAGTAGTGTGCAAACTGTTGTTTTGGTAAATTTCCCCATGAAAGCCTGCAAAGTACTAAATTATTGATGCTCTAAGTGAGTTGTTTTCTATTACTTTACAGCAGAGCGATCAAACACTGCAAATGCCCTCCCACGTGCTGAGCTGTTCACAGTCTCATTAGGAAAAACAGAATAGTTCTATAATGAATACAGACCAGTCTGTGTAGGTCTGTAGGAAAATTATTTTTTCCAACTAAAAATACCTTCACATCTGATATCATTTTCTTTTATAAACAATGTTTTTAAGTCATGGGCTGCTGCATGCCAAAGCTCTTACACATATTCTTCATTCAATAGCGTTCCAACTCTCCCATAACCTCTGGCTATGTGGATGTTTAGCAAAAAATAGAGGTACAACTTAAAGCAGCAAACAAGCAGAAGACCAACCAACAAGAATGGCGCACAATTGAGTGATTTGTATTTTTTATTAATAACACATTACAGGGTAACTTATCTATCCGCATAGTCAAGTGTCATGGCCTGTGTGGTGAATAGTGGTGCTTACTTTATAGTTTTCTGGTATATTTTCATTAGTGTGTATGACAAATTTCATAGGAGTTAAGCGAAAACTAAAGGAAGGAAGGAGCCAAAGAAACTCTTTCTAATCTAAAGCAGGTGATAAGAGTCACAACAGTGTAAGTGCACACATATAAAGTGGTCTCTCTGTGGAAGAAAAGAAACTTACAAGCAAGTAGTTTACAGACAACACTGGGTGAGCACAATCAGTTCTCATCATGAAGGAAGCACTGATAAATACAACAAAAACAAATGTAGTAGCATAGTGTAACCTTTCACTAATAATCAGAAGAAGTGCTGTTTAAACTGAAGCTTGCAGTTGCCCGTATGCTCTGTTTTTAAGCAAGCAAATAGAGAAGTAATGCACAGATTCTTGGTCTGATAGTGGAACTATTGGTCAGTATATTTAAAATAACAATTTTGCTGAAAGCCTATGCTTTATAAGTTTATTCTGGGAAATAAAGAAATTCTCATTCAAATAACAACTATTCTGAATATTTTTAGCCTTTCATCACACAACATTTATCTTTTAAAATGTAGCAAATGCAAAAATGGTGGTACAGATGAGCCCATGACGTCACTAAATGTTCCAGGAGATTCATCAGTCAACAAGGCTGGCAGCTACAAATAGCAATGTTTGTCCTATAACAGCTAAAACTAGCAACATCAACATAACAAGCCACTTCCTTGCACCGCAAAACAAAAAAAAGCTTCTTGCAAATACCATAAAAACATAGTATATATATATAAAAGATGTAATTAACCCCTATGACCATTCTTTTTTTGAAGTCCTGTTTGAAGCTTAAAGTTTGAAATTTTGGCTGGTGAGATCAAGGTTTATGAAATCGAAGTGAGAGGTTGATCCAAAGAAAAAATACACATACTGCACATATAAAAACTTTTGACTCCTAAAGTAGCTACACCCTAAAGCAGTGGTAGGCAATTAATTCAAAATTGAAGAACCTGCTCAATACTAACTGAGATAGTAGATCAACAGAAAATCTGACATATTAAGGTGCATCAGCGTTGACTGCACTTGTCACACCTTTACACATATTTTGACCTATTTAAAGTAACATTCATCACATTGTTTAGTTTCTTTAAACAGAAACAAATCACATTGTCACAGATCTCTCATGTTATTTTTTTCCCTCAAATTTAAAGTCAAAGGAACATCTAGACATCGTGTTTTTTTCCTCAGCAGTAGTAATAAAGTTAAGTAGAACCAGAAATAACTTCTGGGGTTGTATAATGTCAGCCTGTGTCTAGTGCATCACTATTTAAAGCTCCCATTAAGAGTTAAACCTTAGTTTAGTAATGAGTGCTCCAGAAATACATCATTTGAAGAGAACAGTTCAGTAGTTACAGATTTCCAAGTCTAGCCAAACACTGAAATTCATCTGTACCTTCACCTTTGATGCTTTACTGGAGTTGCATTATCAGATTATTGCTGTTGTGTAAATATATATTTACGTTCTGTCCTGAGTCTAGAGTCAAACTATATATAGGTAGCTGCTTTGCCAACATGTTACTTAAGGATATTAGCGAGTGAGTGTTTAACCCCTTTGACAGACATAAGGCAGACATGGTTGTCTCTCTAGTTTAATCTTCTTACAACTCCGCTTCACTGTTAGAGGGAATGTGACACAATCAATTTACTCTCAAGTGTTGTTACGTGGTGTAATAACACTTATCGTTCTGTTCTTAATCCTCAGTCACAGTTAGATGTCATGAAGTTAAACAGGTTTCATGCAGCTACAATGGCGCCCACTCCCAGCCACGTCAAATCAAGAGAGGATAAGGGGGACACCAGGGTCCACCAGAAGCTTCGCCGTGCCTCTGCAGATGACAACAGCCGTGCTAAGACTGCGATCGCAGAGAATCGCATCACCACCATCCCAGAGCTCACAGAGACACTTGAGAAGAGGCTCTGTCTAAATGATCAGAAGACCACGTCTCTGGTGAGCAGGAGGATTTATAACATTAACTAAACGAACGATAAATGGTCTTTACAGATTTTTACCTTCTCATAGATGACCGAAGGACGATCAGATTTGATGGTCTTTCTCCTCCTCATATAAAATTGCGAAGCCCGTAAAAATTAAGGAGCCTGAAAAGCTGCATTACTTTTATATGCTGCCAAAAACAAAGCTGTGAATTACATAACCTACAAATACCCACATAATTAACTGGTCTTGAATGCACACAAGGACCTTGAAGTTTTCTTTTTCTTCTATTGTCCATGCTTTTTGTCTGCATACTAAAGAATATAGTTGTGAATGCATGTTTAATCCTTTTTCATTTTCATACCTGATTTTTCTTGGAACAAATTTTTTTGTCAAGCCCTGTTAAAACTCATTGTCAGGGGTTTAATGTTAATGAAACGGTGTTTCTGTATTTTTGTGGTGTCACAGGAAATCAATACAAAAACGTGATACATAACATACACAGTGCAAATAACATTTACAGCTTATCATAACTTTGTGAAAAATTATATCTTTATTTATTAGTTTACTGAAATTAAATGGAGCTCCTTCACTTTGGTATATAAGTTACATATATGAAGTTCCTGTCACTTAATCTCCTTAAGTTCTACAGACTCAAAACAAACATATTTTATATATTTATATTTAACTTGAAATAAGTTATTTTTGACCGAGGAAACTTTCATATTTGTATCTTTTCATATACAGATGGCTCTTTATTTTCTATTTACATTAAATATTAAGTAGCATTTCATATTTTGCAGTTACACTTTTGATTTCTTCACACCTACTTCTTGTTTTTTCATTCAGAAAGTAGCCTAATTAGAAGCTGTTGCTCTGAACTGATCTTACTAATCTCCCACTGATGCAATAATACAGGTTTATTATTTTTATAAATACATAAGTTATTGAAATCTTGGTCAGATGTTGTTTCTTTTTCTCACAGAACAAGGACGATACGTTGTGCCTGATCTGTCATGAGGACATGCGTAAGAATGGGAGGGGAGTGCCACATTGTACACACCGCTTTCATAAAGAGGTAAGAGAACCTGTACATGTCAGATCTACTGCATGACCTGTGTCTACACTGTGTTCCCTCAAATCCCTGCAAGTCAGACACCAGATCTCTGATGCATGATAGCAGCCTGTTCCTGGACATGCATGATGTGAACTGGAATGAAAACACAATGCCTGCAGCAGAAACTTATCCCTGTAGATGCATGGAGTACACTGAACAGCCTGAGGTCCCAGAACTGGATACTTACTCATTATGATGTTTCCATCTGGTGGGTGCTGAAGGCAGCTCGGAGGTTAGAGCAGTGTCGGCCCCGAAGCAGCAGTGAAGCAGCTGTTTTACAGGGGATGAAGCTCTATGAGGAGAGGAGGAGGTCTGCAGATGGACAGATTTCCACGGAGAAGGAGCAGCACACACTCCATCGTCAACATTCCCTGAGGAGACATCGCTGATATTGTTTTCAAGAAGGGGAAAATGCATGATTTGCAGTGAAAACGTCAGGATTTCTCCTGAACTTTTACTATGATGTGACACTGAAAAATCAGGGCCTAAAATCCCCTCTGGGTCAGAGTTTTAAGTCACTTTTGGAATAATTGCAACTCCTTCTCTTCAGTGTGCAAACACAGAGTTAAAAATATTTGAAAAGGGTTAGAGTTAGAAAAAAAAATTGAGACCGAGTTTAAAGGTTTGAACTCAAAGTTTCCTTTGTATGAAAAACTGCACTGCACCATGACTCTGTAAACAGGGGTGTTGCTAAAGTGTTGGCTTGGGGCCTGAAATTTATTAGGTCCACCTGGTGCCCCAGCTAAATCTGTATTATATAAATGCAAACATGAGTGAAAATAACAGGGGGATGTAAGGTGTCCAGTTACATTTTTGCTGTAAAAAACACTGTGGTACTCCTCAATACATTATTGTAAATATAACTATATAATGTTATATAATATGATAATACACACTAAAAGCTCTTCTGCTCAGTTATGGATGTATGACTCCCCCATGACATGCCTCACAGTGGTTTGATCCACTGCTTGTTTCCTGACTCTAGTGCTGCATTCTGCAAATTTTGGCATTGATTCAATACCAACTAAATACAGGGCCAGTATTACCGATACTATTTAACCAATAAAAGCAAATTATGTATTGAAGATGAGATGAAGTGTCATCAATATGCAAAGTCTGAACACACTTTAATGAAATCACTGTGATTTTTACTTTCACCAAAACACAATTGACACAAAAAAAACAAACCTTTCAGCTGTGTGCCTGTTTCTAAAGCACTTTGGATCGATTTATGTTGGATCAGTTTATGTTCTTTAAATAAATAAACTAGGGATGACAGTCAGCACAAAAAGTTTTAGGGATTTTTCACTATTTTTTTCACACATTTCACTATTGGTTAGAAACAAAGTATCAATCCTATTGCTCTAGTATTGATTCAACACTAATCCCAGCATTGGTATCCATGGATACAAGTCTGGTTTTCTGTGCTCTACGCCACCCTTACTGGTTCTTGGGTCCCTCTGTGCCAAAACCATATAAAATTTCCTGGAAACGCCTCTGTATGTAACGGTCATTGTATTCAGTTATTAGACTCACAGCATGTTATTGGATGAGCAGATACCTCTATGGTTAGACTAATTAAATGGTTTTAAATATCACTTTAGAATAAATATAAATATACTTTATAATCAATAGAGAATATTTACAGTTTATAAAGGCATTTCATCAGAACTACAGTGTATTTGTGTTTCTGCTATGATTTGATTGCATCTTTCTCTTAATGAGTCACTATATATACTGTTGAATCTGTTGACAATCAGAACTTGTTAACATGTTAACATTTTGCCAAAGTGAATATAATAAAAGTCAATAAAAAGCAAGGCACCACATTATTAACTGTAAAGAAATCTATTTAAAACCTTCTTTGACTCGTAGCCTTTGAAACAGAGAAAGCTGCTCAAATAGGTAGCAACACTGTCCCAGCTAAGGGCTAGGGTCTGTGCACGTAGATCCTGTTGCTCATGCATCAACATGTTGGAAATGACCTCCTGGCATCAGTTGAAAATATCAATTACTGCATAAATGATACATGATACAGATCATAGCAACAATGATGCAATGGTGTGTTTTAAAATGTGTTTCAGTGCATGGAGCAGTGGCTATGGGGGAAAAGGAACTGTCCCACATGCCGTGTCTACGTATCCATGCTAAAGCCCCTCTATTGGCCTTCTTGTCGCACCACCGTCCCATAATGGTCCTGCACCTACACTTGAAATGCCTGCATGTATATGTGACCCCAAGACCTCCTCCTCTCCATCTCCACGCCTCGTTCTTTCTGCATGAACACCCTCTGCAAAACTGTCTTCTGTCCCTGCAGGAAGCAGGAAATGAGAGTGAGGATATCTCATGTGAGAGACAGGAGCTGTCATTGGACGGTGATTATTTATATAAGAGCTCTTGTAAATTAATGCACTATCAGGGGAGGATTAGTCTTTCTTATTCTTATTTTGTTTTTGTCCAAAAATGATTCTAAACTATTTCTAATGACATGCAGTTAGGTGGAGCAAATGTCCTCAAAACTGACAATATTTTTTGATAATGAACAAAATAATCTGCCTGAATTCTGCTGAGTTTGTGGTTGAGGTTGAATATTTCCAAGTTCTGAAGTGGAACTAATGATATAAAATCACATCATGAAATATAAACAAACAACCCATAAATTAGTCTTCTTACAGCTGGTAGCATATGAATGTGTGCATCAGTAGCAGTTGAATTTAAGGGATTATAAGACCTCCCATCTGAGTTCCACTGAGCACATCTTTGGCAGGCTGTTTCCCCTCAGTTTAAAGCTTTTAAACGTTAAAAGTTTAATGCTAAGCTGACTAGTTTCTGACTTTGGTTTTATATTTAGCACAGAAATACGGGGAACGTAAATATTTTCCCAAAACCATTCATACACACAAATATTCTATATATTTTTTGACCACATTTGACTGACATCTTATAATAACCACAAGTTCCTGATATAGTTTTAATTGAAAATCTTGAAAACAGTCTTAAAAAAGCTGAAAACTACAGAGAATCAACTCTAAGACAGGTGACAAATTAAAGGAAAACCATCAAACCAGTGACCCACACACTGAAGGGGTCCAGTGGCTCTGTGTTGGTGCATTGATTTGAGTCCAGAGAGCGTCACTGTATAGCGATACAAACTTTCTCTGACTGGTTACTTTTATGCTACAATGAAAGATGCCACCTTCTCTACTCGACACAAGGGGTTACTGAATGCTTTTATTACTCAGAACATGATTTTAAGTTAAGCAGTGCTGTACACCATATGAGAGAATGTCTTTTGGAATGATAATGTTCATCTATCCAGTACGTTTCAGAGGCTTCAGTCGGTGCTAAGGTGCATTAGAATTGCTCTGTCAGCACATGGCAGCTCAATACCTTATTGAGAAGCATGAAGTTGATTTTCCTTCTTTGTCACCTGTCAGTATGGGTTTTTTGCATATTCTGCAGAAGGTGGTTTGTGTATTTCAGTCACTGCTGATTACCCAGTAGAGAAATTTCAACAGCTGCACTAGCAATAGCTCTGCTCTGCTATTTTGAAGGATTGAGCATGCACATTTATTTATTGCCTGCATTCACAATGCTTTCTCTTAAGTAACAAAACTCCTCCCCTGCATCAGTGTCATATCTTATCGTACATCTGCACCGTCTTCCTGCCTTACCTAATTAGCTTTTGTTTTGCATGTAAAGGTTTTTGCATGTGACTTCTATTCGATCGTTTTCAAACATCTCTCTTGTGCCGTGTGTTTTGCACTTCCATGTGAGAAGTTTACAGTATGTACACAAAGTCCAACTAAAAAGAGCTGGCCTATGTATATATTTACCCATGTAAATATGCAGTTATATAAAGGATAACTCTGTAGTTAATGAAAATTAGAATGCAATTTTAAAATGCTGCTATAGCAGTTCATTTAACCAGCAAATGCTCATAACTACTATTAGATTTATGCACAAAGACACAAAACCTTTTGCACTCTGCAGAACAAAGGCTGTTGGGTTCAGTATGCTTACACCACGGAGGTTATGTGTTTAATTACATTTTCCAACCTTGTGCTTAAAAAGCTGAAGAGACACTATGACCCTCAGCAGCACCAACTTCCAGCTGCTGTGTTCACTGTTTCCATTTCACTGTTGTTGTTGTTTTTGCACTCTTGAATAAAAACACAATGGAGTGAAACACCCGTTCTGTATCTCTTTGTATATCTCTTGATCCCACTTGTCCTCCATTATATCCATCCATCCATTTTCTTCCATTTATACAACTCAGGGTTGGGAGAATATGTAGGCTCCAGTCAGATGGCGGATTCAAACCCAGGACCTCCTTGCTCTGTGCCACCCCAGTATCTTACTATAATAATTAAAGCCCTTGTTCTTATCTTTTTTCACCAACTCCTCCTAGACCATCAATAGCTGAGCAACCAAATGTGACGCACAAAGTTTCTTATCTAATATGCCAAATATTATGTCTTGATGTTGCCTAGAAACCACCTAGTAAAATGAGTTTATTTCCCCTAAAGTTATGCACCTACAACACTTCATAAATGCATCATATCATTTTAATCTCACAGCCACCAGCATGAAGAGGGGAAATAATACTAAAGCAAGGCCACATGCTTGTACAGAAAGTTTTTCTTAACTGTTGGTTAGCTGGATGTGTTAACCTTAATTACATATAATGTAATGGCTAACACCAGCTACAACATTAAAGTGATATAATGAATAATTATGGCCCAGTACTATAATTGATAACGCTGCATAATAAGTTTTCTTCTTTCTTCCGAGGCCCCCGGTACTCCTATGAAAGAGGATTAGGGCCACTGGAAAGAAAATCTGAGAAAAAA